CCGGTAACCCACTACGACCATAGTTCGTTCGTCGGCAGCAGCTGCAGGCGGCGGCAAGTGGCGACGGACGCGACCCTGGCTCGCGTGCGCCAGTCGCCAGTGTGTGCGTGCGTATCGATGCGGCCCGTGTACCGCACCACGATTAGTTCTCCCCACCGGGAACGACAATAACAACTGCGGCGGCAGCGGAGGTCGTGGTAGCACGTTTACGCGACCGACCGGTAAACACGGACGTGGTACCCACAGCGGTGTGTTGTCGGGACGACCGCGGTTCTGTTCGTTATCATTTTTTTCTCAACGCCATGCCGTCTCGCGTCAAACGTTCTCGGTAGTCTGTGCGCATAGCGAGAACGACCGTCCGACGCGTGCGGCGCCCCGCGTTCATGATCTCGCACACACGCACAAACGCATACGATTATAGTGATAAATAACAATAATAATAATGATAAAAATATATTAATAATAATATTGATGTAAATAATAATATTGTGTGTGTCGTCGTCGTCGTCGTCGTGAAGTGTATCCGGTTTTCTGTATCGTTTAGCTATAAGACACACAGTGCGCCGTGTTGTTGGCCTTTAAATTTCATTTTTGCGTTTTATTCTCGTACGACTGTGAATAATATTATGGTATAACACTTGCTTACATTTATAGTTTTTTTTGTTTTTTATCGCTATCCGGTGTTATCTGTGCGTGCGCCGATTGTTTACCACCCGATAGCGTCGGCCAGTCGGCCACCACCTCCCCTTATCAATTTAACCGTGTGATACGCGAAAAAGTGGGCCGCCGCCGGTGCGACCACTGCACTACTACAATGGCCGAATTTAACGTGGACGTTACGCGGTTACCCGACGACGTTCGCGAAAAGCTCGCGGAACTGGAACTCGAGCTGTCCGAAGGCAAGTACTCTAAGTTTTTTTGCTTGTGTTGTCACCTCTTGCGGTCTTCTCGACCTGGGGTAGCACTGCTGGGGTGGTCGCCACCCCCGCACCAGGTCTTCGCCAACCCCTATACTGACCGGAGTGATTCATTCCAGTCACCGGCTCGGTTTTCTGTGAAGAGATTCTTCTATTTCCCCCATAATGAATGTCTCTTTTGAGGTTATATAGGTGTCGTACACTACTGTTTACTGTGACATTTGGGCTCTCTTGGGTACCTAACCTTACCTACCTATCACTATGGCTGCAGATTGGGATAAGTGCCTTCCAGATGGGTATTGAATGTGTGCATAACTTTTATCCATGAAAAAAACATTTTGGACCAGGTACTATTCATATTTAATGAATGGTTTAGTTTATTATTTATTACGGTGGCTATCTAAATTTTAGTCTTGTTAGTGTCACTTTTATCTTTATTGACAAACAATATCATTTGGTAGTACTTGAATGCATTTAAATATCTAAAAGTAGTTTTTTTTTATTTAACTAGGTAGGTAGGTACTTTATAAAGTGCAGAAACTGTTTGAAATATTATCAACTGAATTCCTACCTGTTTTTATCAAGTAAGCAGATCAGCCGCTAGCATATTATTATTATCTTATAAACATTTGATTAAATTTATTGTTGATCTAATTAACTTAAATCCGAGCTTAAATCATAAATACCTATTATAGGTAGGTAGTTGGCTAATTTGGCATAAATACAACAGTTTTATTTTAAATGCCTAGAATGTTATCTAGTAATATTTTATTTCTTTTATTTGATATAAAATTGGTAATTATCAAAGCCAATTTTAACATAGATATGATATGGTGACCTTAAAACGGTTTTATATTTTTCGAAGCACAATCTTTACTTTTTGGAGAGGTTTTTATCATATTATGTGAAATAAATTTGTATACCTATGTATTATTTTGTTTGTTATATGATGATGATAGAACTATCTATATAACTGATAGGTAGTTTTAGCTATTTTATTTACCAGTAAAAATACAGTTATCCGTACATCTTTTTTTATTTTAACATCCTAATATACAATGCAATATGGCATATGCTATAAGTATAGAATTAGTATTTATTATAGTATTTATAGTATTTAAGATACAGGTGAAATACCGTGAAGTACACAATTTACAAGGAAAAAAATGCATGTTTAAAAAGTAGAGAAAAGCCACTATGACACTTGCAATCTGTAAACTTAAACTGTTTTAACGTCATCATATGAAAACATAGTAAATAAATGCCTAGGTAGCTTAGAAATTATACATTGTATTCGTATTTTATTAGAACTTGAAAAGTTTTTTAAACTTCAATTGTTTTTTGAATGAAATACCAAAAGAACATTTTGTTACAATTAGTCTTTAATTTTTGTTTCATGAAACAACACACTAAAGGGAAAGAATATAGAATTAATATTTATGCATTATGCATACAAAGAATACCACGAAGAATACTTAATAAATACAATTGCTAAAATTAGTAAAATAGTTAACATAGTGTGTTATGGGCCAGTAGATACCATCTCTGATTAAAGTTAACCGGAGTTTAATCGGCCGAATATGTCCGGTTACATATCTGTTATCAGCTGATTAAGCTTAATCAAAGTTTAACCTTGGACGGTACAACTGGTCCTTAGTATTATAGAATTGGTTTTAGTTGATACCTACTACCTAGGTACATAATATGATAAAAATTAGTCAAAAACTTGGGTATAAATACTTGGACGTAAAAAGCGAGAAACTAGATTATTAAAATAGAAGTTCTTACTAAAGAAATGTGGTATAACAAAGTGGGGTTTAACTTTTTAATGTTATATTGTATTAATTTGATTTTGACTAAAATCCCTCGACAATCTTAAACTATAAACTATTTAGTAGTTTGAATAAAAATATGAAGTCAAAAACTAGATGTTTTGATTTCAATAGTTTAAGATCAATTAAGGAAGTAACATCATCACTTCTATCAATAAATTGGCATATTAGCTCTGGAAGTACAAACGTGAAGACAATTCCTTTAAATTATAGGTAGATAATTATTACTTTGCTTATTAATGTACAATTTACCGTTATTCATATGAATATTAGTCCGAATATATGTTAAAAATATTAACAAAACAATCCCTAGTTTATAAATACTATGTCTTATTTTTGGTATTATTTTGAAAATATTATTAGTTCTACACTTCCATTTGCATTGACAATCTTTATTTGTTGTATAATATTTATGTAGTTAAATTTCACAACATGGCATTATTCATTCCTATGCGTTCCTATGTTCGGTATACAGTTTTTTTTTTATTTAGGTTGAGATAGCAATAATGGTTAAGCATAATTCAATTTTTCTATATTAATCTTATATGATCATTGATCACATAGAATGAGTGATATTAGTCATGATTTAAAAATATTAAAATTGGCAATTTAATAATTTTGAACTTAAATATTTTTACTGACCTATTTTTTTTAAATTTATTAAATAATGTTATTCATGTACCTAGCATTTTATATGTATATATAAAAAAAGATATAGTACCTAGCTTATTTAACTCAAAAACTAACAACCCAAGTAAAATATGTGTACTTAAATAGGTAGGTATTTAATTTATGAATTTATTTATTTAATACTATGATCTTTTGTAATATGAATATCTAACAAAATAACCTGAGAAAAATCTATCGGGGCCGATAAAGTTCAATTTTGCCCTTTAATTGGTCTAATTTAGTGTAAAAAATATGAGCTACCTACCTACAGATTTAAACAATTAAATGTGATGGTTTGTTGCTAAATTGTCTATATAAATCCTCATTTTCGTTCTTATGAGCAATCCTGGCATTGTCAATGTCCTTGATGCTTTGATAATAATCAAACATCAAAAATAACATTAAGATCTTAAATAAAACAATGCCTATCGCATATACCTTATTGATATACTTAATTCATGTAAAGCAAGTAATGATCGAGTAATCATAATAATTATATATGACAAGCATTGCTACAAATAAACAAATCTTTATTAAACATAATATTTATAAACAAATTGTTTTTATACCATTAATTATGTATTAATACCATATAATTGCTAAGTTAATATTTATACTTAGTCAATTATATTACATTAAACATTGACATGTTGCTTCTCTAGAAAATGTAATGATAATAAATCTGTCTTATCAATGAATAATCTACCGTGAGAGTAATAGTTCATTTTGTTTTTAGTAAAGGGGACTTTACAGTGACATATTTTGTTGTCTCTGTCTTACAAGTGCTTAAAATAGCATACTGTACCATCAGCAGATCGCGTGTATCTTTGTTGGTTTAAAAACTAGAGTGAATTGACCTCTTATAAAATTTAAAGGTATGATTATTATCTAGGCAATGACATAGGCTATTTTTACTATATAAAATATAAATTTAAAGCGAGTTATGAGTTTTTTTTAATTGTAAACTTTTAAAATTTTTAAACTAACGGAGATAAACGTGATCTTCTGAACATAAAATCAGGTTTACTACTAGCTACATGGACTGAATCTAATTCCCTAGGTCTCCACCATTTACTCTGTATTTCTCCCGTTTTGGCCGTATTTTTAAATATTTATAAAATTGGAAATCTGTTTCCAACCATCATGACAAAATATAATACCTGCAACAACAGATTGTCAGCAATATTTTATAACTACAGAATAAATATTAAATTTCACGTAATTTATTTGTATTATATTTTTTTTTATTTTAGTTAGAAGTAGGGACTAAGGACGTAGGACTAGGGTTGACGGTTTCGGTGTTGGTGAGTTGCGGCCCGATCCCTAAATAACGTACGAATTGCGGCCTGTGTTTATGAAAAGGACGTGCGAGTTGCGGCCCGTGTTTATAAAACAGACGTACGAATTGCGGCCACATTTTACATTTTATTTATCACTTCATATCAGCCTATTAGTGTTACCCAGAAGACACCACGAGGAGGTTGGCTGAGTCGTCTCCCAAAAATTTGTATTTTTTTTTATTTATGTAAAAATGGCAAAATTTATGGTAAAATTAATTTTAATATTTATGTAAAATATGTAAAAATGGCAAATATTCATATGAAATATTTATTGGTTGGGCAAAAACTTAAAACTTAATGATTTGACGAAATCAAACTGCTCTATTTCTTTTTGTGCTAGCTTTGTCATCTGTTGTCTTATAAATGCTTCTTTTTCACATATTTTCTTCGTTTTTATTCCATTGCTTCTACATTTGATATACGTTTCTGATTGAATTTCTACTAACACATCAATACAATTATAGATGTTAGGATGACTAGAGTAGAACGATGAATTTAGGTGTGAATGAAAACTTTCACAGCCGTTAGTGGCACGGTTACAGCTAGCAGAGAACTGTGCCCAAATATTTGGGGGAAACATAGCATCCGGGGATATATAGTTTTCGAAAACATAGTCGGTAAATTTTACAACCCGATCATCTTTTGCGGGCAGTATTGCTAAAAAGTCATCCGTGAAACAATCAATGACGTTGTCAGAATCCAAAAATGGCAAACCAAAAAAAAATTTGAAAAAATAACTTTCATCTGTATTTGTGTTATACATTTTCGTGAGTCCTAAACTTTGAATTTTCCTCCACCAACTTTGCCCTAGGTGAAATCGACATCCTCTTATTTTAGCATTAGGGTAGACTTCCGCTACAGCACTGTGGATAGCTTGTTCAAAATCTATAACAACTTCAGTAGGAGAGCACGTTAGACCAATGGACATGGAATGGCGAATTAAATGTTTAAATGCACACTTGTAGGTGGTATTACACTTGTCGGGTAGTAAAAAAAACACTAGTGGTAAATATACATCATTTTTTAGGCCATGGATGGTAAAAAGTTGATAAAAGTGTTTAGGGCAGCTTTTGAAAGTTCCATCTACGTAAAATTTATTTACATCGCACAGCACTTTTATGTTTTGTGTAGTAGAAAAACCAATTATAAAATTTTCTTTGTCGTTGATAAACAAAAATGGCTCACCTATATTAGTTTTGATATTCATAGACTCCAAAGCAGTATGTAATTCTTTAATGCATTTTGGCAGAGGGGGGTGTACAAATGAACGGGCACGATGAACATTGTGTCGAATTAATGATAAATCATTCGTTGTCAAAGTCGATATATCGCCTTTCTTCA